GTTCAACAGCGCTCCCGTTGTATAAGGAACCGATCAGCGGCATGCCGCCTCCGCGCGCGCGCGCGCGATGGGCATTTTTGCGTTCGGCGTCGCATATCCACATGGGGATGTTCCCGTCTATCGATCAGTGAATGGATGTTTACATTGGGTTTGTTTGCCATTGGGTTTTGGAGTTCAACAGCGCTCCCGCTGCGTAAAATCTATCAGCGGCGTGCCGCGCGCGCGCGCGGTCGTTGGCGATTGGCACTTTTGCATTCGGCGTCGTATATCCACGCGGGGAGGTCCCCGTCTTCCGGTCAGAGAATGAATGTGTACAATGGGTTTTCGCCATTAGGTTTTGGAGTTCAACAGCGCTCCCGTTGCGTCGAATCTATCGGCGGCAGGCCGCCGCCGCGCGCGCGCTCGCTGGCGACTGGCAGTTTTGCAGTCACCACATGGGGATGCCCCCGTCTTCCGATTAGAGAATGGATTTTTACAATGGGTTTTCGCCATTGGGTTTGGGGGGTCGAATTTCGCCCCGTCGCAAAAGAAACATATCAGCTGCATGCCGCCGCCGCCGCCGCCGCCGCCGCTGCGGCGCGCGCGCGCGCGCGCGCGCGCGCGCTGGCGCTTTGCATTTGCGCATTCAGTGTCGTATATCCACATGGGGATGTTCTGGAACGTCTTCCGATCAGAGAGTGCATTTTTACACTGGGTTATCGCCATTGGATTTTGGAATTCACCCTCGCTCCCGCTGAATAGAACCAATCAGCGGCATGCCGCGCGCGCGTTGGCGATTGGCATTTGCGCACTCAGGTGTCGCGTATCCACGCGGGGATGTCCCCGTCTTCCGATCAGAGAATGCATTTTTACGTTTGGGTTTCCGCGATTGGGTCTTGGAGTTCAACATGGCTCCCGTTGTGTAGAAATCTATCGGCGGCGCGCCGCCGCCGCGCGCGCGTTGGCGATTGACATTTGTGCATTTAGTGTAGTATATCCACATGGGGATGTTCCCGTCTTCCGATCAGAGAATGAATGTTTACATTGGGTTTTCGCCATTGGGTTCTGGAGTGTAACATCGCTCCCGTTGAATCAAATCTACCAGCGGCAGGCCGCCGCCGCGCGCGCGCTCGTTGGAGATTGGCAGATTTGCAGTCAGTGTCGTATATCCACGCGGGGATGTTCCCGTCTTCCGGTCAGAGAATGATTTTTTTACATTGGGTTTTCGCCATTGGATTTTGGAGATCAAATGTCGTCCCGCTGTGTTAAACCAATCAGCGGCATGCCGCTGCCGCGCGCGCGAAATTTCGTCCCGATGTGTAGAATCTATGTGCGGCATGCCGCCGGCGCGCGCGCGCGCTGGCGCTTAGCATTTTTGCATTCAGTGTCGCATATCCACATGGAGATGTCCCCGTTTTCCGATCAGAGAATGAATTTTTACATTGGGTTTTCGCCATTGGGTTTGGGAGTTCAACATCGCCCCCGTTGTATAAAATCTATCAGCCGCGTGCCGCATTTGCGTATCAAGTGCCGTTTCGCAACCCAGACAGGGTGCGCGGTGCGCAGGGAGTGGTCCCTGAGAGCAGTCTCTATCCACGCTGGGGTCGCAGGGCGTGGCAAGCGTGGTCTGACGCCAAGAGGGGGTGCACAGGAATCTGCCCCTGCACGCAGGGCGCCAAGGCGGTCGCGGGGACATCTCCGGCGATCCAGTTTGCCCCGCCTTTTCTATAGGCGCACTACAGCGCTGGGGAAAAACATGTTTTAAACTGTCTCCCCAACATATTCTTAAACAGCCGCTTTTAGACATACAACATTCAAGACGCCGTCGTCGAGCTGATACCGCTCGAATTTGTCGGAAGCTGGCCCTGACTGGGCTACGCACGCACGTGGACGGGGAGACAAGACAGGCCTTTTCGCCTCGTCACCTTGTCGACACATTGGGTTTTAAACCGCTGCAGCCTTTACCGGCTGCGCGGGTCTCCTTGGCAGTACCGCCTGGAAACGCCCCTTGCCACATCATCGTGGCTACAACACGCGCGCATTGACACTTCCGACGCTCAGGGATTTACCTCCCACTTGCCGAAACCGTACCGCCTGGCCTCACGCTTGCCACGCTACCGTGACTACAACAGGCGCGCAGTGACATTGCGGGCGCCCCGGGATGCACTTCCAACTTGCCAAAACCGCACAGCCTGGCCTCGCACTTGCCATTGTACCGTGGCGATTCTCGTGAATCACTTCGTCCAAGAAACTACCTCCCCGTTTCCACATTGCTCCTGTCGCCATGGCGGCTGCGAAGTTCGCTAGCGCCGCAATGGCGCGATGCCTGAGCCGAGATGGCTATAGGCAGCCAGGGTCTAGCAGCTGGCTGGGGGAAGCAAGAGCCGGTGCAAGAGGAGGGCCGATATCGGCACCCAACCTGCACCACTATGGTTTCTGCCCTGGCGTCTCGCCAGCCCTCCTGCACTCACGCAGGTGATCGAGGAGGATGGCCTTCAACCCAGAACTCGGGCCACCATGTCTACTTCAGCACGACGGATCAAGATGATGGATGAGGATGGCCTTCAATCTAGAGCGCCCTCCTGTGGATCACCAACTCCGCCACGGATTACGATGCCCCCAACCTGAGAGCCGATAGCGGAACCCAATCTGCGCCAATATGGTTTCTGTCACGGTGTCTCGCCACCCTTTCTGCACTCACACAGGCGATGGAGGAGGATGGCCTTCAACCCAGAACGCCCTGCCGAGCGGAAAAGGGAGCGGGAGAGAGAGAGAGAGAGAGAGAGAGGGAGAGGGAAATCAATAATACGAGGGACTGGGGGGGGGGTATCACGGCACGGGCGGATGCTTACCGCACCCATGTGGACTTAGGGAATTAGGTGAGACAAGTGGATGGACGCCACCGTCCCTGCCCACCATGAACCTCCTGACAATCCTCAAACGCCGCACCGTGACTGCTTAGGACGAAGCCCAGCTCGAGCAAAAGCATCCATGCAGAGGGCGAATGGCGCGTGCGGGTGGCCTGGCCAGCGCACGTCACGCCGACGGGGTGGATGCAATGATCATCAGCTCTGGCATTTAGAATTGACTGTGCACCGCAGATTTCCTGGATCGGCGCTGGAACTTTCTCCCTGGCGCGCGGGGCGCGCCAAGGGCAGCGCCAGCGCAAATCTAAGAAATCCGCGCGGAACTCCAGATGACCATGCTTACGTGTGCACTGTTCCCTCTTCGGGCAATGCGCATCAGCACTGGCATCGGCGAGGCTGCAAGCTCTCGGAAAGACCAACTATCCCAAGCCCGCGTCGAAGACCCAGAGGCGTACCTGGGCCACCTGACCTCGCGCATCGCGCTGGGCGAGGCGCCCTTCTGCTCGCGCCCTCGCGCGCGACCCCTCTGGAGAAGAGCAGCTCCGCGGCCCAGACCTCCAAAGGCGGCTCTACCCGTGGGCCCCTGCTGGCGGCCTAGCGTGCAGCCCCCGCAGAGGACCTGCAGTAGGCACACACGACAACACATCTTGCTATAAGAACTCTTTGGGCACACTCTTCGTCGATCGTCAAGGGTCCAAACAAATGCCCAGGGCATCTGTGGGCCCCCCAAGGCCATCGGGGGATTAGAGGCTTCCGTGGGGCACCTGCTGGCAGGCTGGTTTCTTGCTTGACGTGCCCACTGCAAAAGAATCTGGCCAATCGCAAACTCATGGGGCACCTGTAGCTGTGCAAGGAGGTGCCCCTGACTGCTCCTGATCGTATATGGGGAGCCCGAACCGCGAACGCCTTGATGAGCTTCCACTTCTCCTCCAGCTGACGGCTCAGCGGAGTCGCGCCCACGTCGTCGTCGAGGAGAAGGGCACCCATGATCAGGAAGTGCGCCTGCGGATCGATGTTTCGAGTACTCCCATCCTGCATCCGTTTTTGCTACGTCGGCCCGCAGCGGCTGCTGGTGCCAAGGCTCTCGTGGACCCCCTGTTGGCGTCCCTGACGAGTGGAGCTGGCGCCACCTCACCGCTCCACTTGTGCGCGCCCCCATACCTGCCCCAATAGTTTCGGTGCCCCGATACGCAACACGCAACCAGCAGCGGGTTGACACGGAGCTCAACACGTATACCGAACACGTAAGTCTGGCGTGACGCGTTCGCCAAAACGTAGGGGCCAACACATCCCGAACCAACACGCAACTTGTTCCACCTGGACTTTTTGAACACGGTTCCTTCAGATCTGGCATCACGACAAATTTCACCACCGCGAACAATTACGACCTGAACCCTAGATCCCGTCTTCCTGCGGCATGTCTCCAGCCGGATCGATCTTTGAAAGCCCTCGGGCCCGAAACCTGGCGAGTAAACCCGCTGTAGAAGAATCGCGACGCCCAAATCTCCGTGTACCTGTTGCGCTTCGCGCGGGCGTATCCGGGGTCCTCCTCAGGCCTCGCCACCACGTGCGCCCTCGGAGGCGGTGGGCGGGGCAGCGCGTGGGGCCCCCTGCGAGGGGTGGCGCGAGCGCGTGCTCTGCAGCCGCCCGCTCTGCCGCGGAGGCCGAGGCGGGACTCCTCCCAGGGGCGTGCTCGGGCTCGGGCTCGGGCTGGCGCTCGGGCTGCGGCTCGGGCTCGTGCTCGGGCTCAGGGTCGCGCTGGGGCTCGAGCTCGGGCTGCGGCTGGGGCTGCGGCTCGGGCTCGGGCGCCAGGCTCGGGCTGCGGCTCGGGCTGCGGCTCTGGCTGTGGCTCTGGCTGTGGCTCGGGGCATCGGCTCGTCTGTGGTAGAGTAAGGAGGACAACTGAGATCACACTCAATCTGTTCCTCCGGCTGCAAGAAGCCAGTGGGAACAGACCGCAGATGTCTGCCCGGGATTCTACGCCCAAGGGTGCCAGCCAATGTATAGACGCAGGAGTGCTTCTGTTACGTCATCCTAGCTGCCAGAGCCTCCAAGATGCGGCTAGTACCACTGCTTGGTCAACGTTTGGCAGAAGCATCTTCTGAATCGACCTCATGCATCGACATCGACTGCACATTCGCATGATGATGTACTTCTCGCACACGATCTTACCCCTTGCTCGCAACTTCTCCTGGCAGCGGTCCAACTTCTACCCCACCCTGAATGCTGTAACCTGGGGCAAACTTAGAAAGAACTTATCATATGTACAATGGCTAAGATACCAAGGTGAAACACTACAGTCGCAGAGTACGTGTTGCGGCATGGTGATTGCATTGGGGATCATGTAACACTGGTTGATACGTGGTGTTGGTTGGTGCGCTGTGGAAGGCACGACGCGGATACCTCATTTTGATGCTTCAAAACAACTGTGCGTGATGCTGCTGCGGCCACTTAATGCACTTGCCAGGCTACTTCAACCAGTGCGCCTGGCCTTACTCGAGGGGTTGCCTGACTCGAACTGATGACCGTCGTGTTCAGCAGCAGTGGCCAGCCCGACAGGCGGCAAAACTTGCTGCCGCATCCCGATCTCCGAAGAACATCCCCCTGAGAAACGCCTGAGGCTCCCGTGCACCATCCAACGTATTATCAACGAGGTGAGGGGGCTGCAGAGCACAGCTGCCACGCAGTCTCGCCATGCACGGAGGATGCCCATCATGACGTCAAGAGGCCGCCCACATCTCGGCTTGATCCAGCCGAGGATACGCACCGTCGTCCAACTCCTCAGGTCATACTTATGCCTGTGATCCTCGTCAGGCGATGCTCACACTCGACGCGCGGTTCCCTGTGACTGTACGTAACAGCTCGCCGCCCGCACGATAGTCAATTGCGTCCTTCGTGCACCTCGTGTCAAGATGGACGTTCGCCTCGACTTTCGAGCGCCCGTGGGTCGAACGTGCACGGCTTCTCCCTGCTGCGGGCGCGGAAACATGGAACAACACACGACCAGCAGGCTCTGCGGCAGCGGCCATTTGAACCCTCGGGTCGGCAGGGAGCGCACGGACTCTCTCGGTCAGCCTTACGGGCCACCCCTCCGCCGACGCGGGCAACAATCACCTCTTCGCGGGCCTTGGCATCTCTGAGACCGTGCTGGGCCCTCCCCCTGCTCGGGCTGCGGCTCCCTGATGCTCCGCGGGCGCTCACGGCCGCACGCCGCCGCCGCTGGCGGGCGCGCTGTCCTCGAGGTGGTCGTGGCGGCTCTTCTCGATATTCTCCTCGGCAACCTTCCTCCGGCGCGAAGGTCACGGCTCGATCCGAGGCCCCGTCTGCGACGTCCGTGCCAAGCGACGCCCTCGACGGGGGACAAGAATGGACCGATGCCGCTACCCCCCAGAACTCACCCAGGGTGCGGTGCGCTCTGACCAAGATTCCGGGGCGAATCTGGCCGTGGCGACGACGAGGGCCTCCCAAAAGGTCCAACATGGCGAAAACTATAGACGGGTAGCGGTACGGGCACCTTTCCTGCATGCACTCTTGGAGGTCCGCGCTGATCTTCTGGATTCGCGCTGGGAGCCCCACCCTTGCACGCGGAGCACGCCAGGGCTGGCGCCGGAGGCGCCGCCAGGGGGGTGGAGCCCAGCGCCGATCCAAGAAATCTGCGCAGAGCATCGACAGCATATGTCTATGACTGTTTGTTCTTCGTCGGCTCTCCTCTGATCTCGGCGCCCAGCGCCCCGCTCACACCAGCCTGAGCCGCTCCAGCCGCGGCGCGTGCAGGTACACTGCGGCCGCCACCTCTCGGGGATGAACATAACCACCTTTTAATAAAACGTGGTCGAGTGAAAACGACCTCGGGCCCAAACCTGGCGGGCGCAGGTCTGGAAAAGAACGGCCGCGGCGCCCTCTCGAGAACCGACAACGGACAATTCACTAATCGACGTGTCATGGGGGGGGGGGTCTGTCCACCCCCGAGCCTCCCCGGCCGCCCGAGGGCCCACGTCGCTGTGCGAGAGGTCCACGAGCCTGAGGCGCGCGCGGTCGTGGCCGCCCGAGAGGCCCCCGCCGGCGAGGACTTCTGCGAGCTGGCCGCCCCCCTCGTCGCCGAGCCCGCACCAGCAGAGCCTCGGCGTTACGCAGGTCCAGATCCCCGACGATCTGACTTTCCAGTCCAAGAGGAAGAAGATGAGGAGGAGGAAGAGGAGGAGGAGGAAGAGTCCGGGCGTTCCTCCTCGATCTCGGTCTCTGGGGCCCGTCGTCGGGCCCTGAAACCATCAGAAGCGGAGATCTGGGACGACCCACCCCCCTGGGGAAGGGGTCGGGACCCCTGAAACGAAGGAGAATTCATCTTTCCGTTCTCCCTGCGCGTGTTGCTATGAAGATGTTTTGTCTTAGCCGCGCGGCGGCGATGGTTGCCATCGAGCACCTCCAACCCCGCAAAATTCTAAGACTCCGCGTGGGCCGGGCGGGCGGCCAGGGGAGCCACGGGCTTCTGAGCGGGGCGATGGGCTTCCCAACTTAAACGTACAAGTATTGATCCCGGGGTGCGGCCGCACGTGTGCATTTCTCCCAAGACTTCTTCAGCAACGTCCAATTCCCGGAGCGGTTTCCCCTGGTTTCCGCTGGGCTTCTCCATACACTGGGCGCAAACACATCGGCTTTGCCTCGAACATCCTCACCCGTGTGCTGATGCCAACCCAGCTTTTGGGAATTATCTGCGAGGTTTTTCGAACACCTCCGCGATTCCAATCGATTTCTGTTGCGTTTCCTCGCGGAACTTGCGACAGAGATTCTTCCTTGTTGCGTCGGGCGTCCTCGTAGAGCTGCTGGGGTTCTGAAAACTCGGCAGGGTCCACGAGAGCTCTGCCTTGAACAGGACGTGCGCTATCGCTATTTTCATTGCCACGTGCGTATCCGCTGCGGCTCCGACGACGCAGGCACCACTGAGGTTCGCTCAGAAACAACTTGATGCTCAAGCAAAAGAAAGCGCAGGTTCGAGCCACAATGATCAAATTATCCTATGCTGTCGGATCCCCAGAGGGAGGCCCCCAAACCGAAACCAGAACCCTTCGCCTGTCTGCTGGGGCCGCGGACTTACCACATTGCCGCGGATTGAGTAAGTCGCCGCGCCGTTTGTTCTCGACGCGCCCACGTGAACGACGCCGACACCACGGCAAACCCACAACAAACCCTGCGTCCCGCGCCCCAGGTAGACGAAGCCAGCACCGCGGCAAACCCACGGCGAACTCTGTGTCCGAGGCGGAATTTGCCCTGGTGCCCGAGGTGCCCTCCCCAAGACGTAGGGCCGCGGATCGGCACAAACGGCGCGGCGACAAATCGGATCGGAGGATGTCCAGGAACGGGCCCTGATGGGACGCACAGAGACGTACTTATACTATGTGTCCTCCGTGGAGGCGCGCCGTCCGGGGTGTTCCAAGCACCTCCAGAACGCTCTCGGCGAGGCGCACCCGCCGGAAGGCATCCCGAGGCTGGAAAACCGCCGAGCACCCGCGAAAGCGCCTGAAAACCTCCTGTCGTTGCCCCTGAAGGACCCGTGCTTCTCTCAGGACCCGCCCGCTTCACGGTCCGAAGAGCCGCAGGGTGCGCAGGTGCTGCCGCCCTGCCAGCAAGAGCAGCGCCGCCGCGGCGCCGACGGCGCCCGGGGCGTCGAAGGGCTCCGCGCACAGCTGCGTCGGCTGCAGCGTGAGCACCTCGAGCTCTGGGCTGCCCTCGCGGAGGGCCCCCAGCACGGCCAGCTGTGCCGCGTGCCCCAGGCCGGCACACTCGGTGAGCGCGAGGTGCCGAGGGGCGGAAGGCCAAACGGCGAGGGGGCCACGTGGGCTCCGAGGCCCGCGCGGGCTTCCCCGGCCGGCGCCGCCCCCGCCCCCCCTCCCCCCTCCACGCACCCTGTTTTGCGTCGGCGGCCCGCGACGGTCGAACGGCACAGACCCTCAGACACGACGCCGCCAAAAAAGTAACATCGCGAGAAATCACGCCAGGAGCCCTAGACTCCACCTCGCGGCGGGATTTCGCGAGTCTCGAGCCGGATCGATCTTTGGGCACCCCGGGGCCCGAGACAGGGCGACGCACGCACAGACGTACGCACACGCACGCACACTGCATAATCCAGCGACCGAGTGGCGTCACTGCAGCAAGAGCTAAGGCTGGGCAAGCTTCGCGTCAATGCCACCTGACGCTGCAGAGTTAACAACGCAGGGCGAGTCATTTGTAGAATCATGGCGGTGGCTGCGCTAGGCAATCACAAACAAGAAAACTGTAATGCTCTGTGCTCCGCACAACCACAGACAACCAAACACAACCATACACATAAACGCAATGACAAAACACGCAACCCTAACACACGCACAATGACAATCAGCACACAAACACACACACACGCACAAACACACGCGCAGCCATAGACACAACCATGAACAGAGCACACGCACACAAACACAAAAACAAGCAAGCAACAAGCACACACATACACGCGAACACACAAACATCAGAACGACACTCACACACAATCAAACACACACACGCGCACACACGCACACACACGCTCTTTCTCTTACACACTCTCTCTCTCACACACACACACACTCTCCAACACTCTCCGACACACACACACACACCACACAACACACAACACACCCAATTCACCTTACCCACGCACAGCACACAACATACACCACACAACACACAACACACACGACACACACATACTCTAACACACGCTCACACACAAACGCTCGCACACACCAGAACACACAAGCACACACAGGTACACACCACACATACAGCATACAGCACTCAACACACAACAAACACACACACACACACGCACACGCACGAGCATACGCACGGACACAGACACAGACACAGACTCAGGCACAGACTCAGACACAGACACAGACTCAGACACAGACGCAAACAAAGACAAAGACACAGACACAGACAACGACGCAGACACAGACTCAGACTCAGACACAAACTCAGACACAGACGCAGACACAGGCACAAACACAAACACAACAGCAAGCATACACACAAGCACAAACACAAGCACGAGCACAAGCATAAGCACAAGCACAAACGAAAGCACACACACAAGCACACACACAAACACAAACACAAGCACAAACAAACACACACACACATGCCCTCCCTGCGCTCGGAGCGCAGGACGGCGCCAGAGGTGCGGCCGGCGTGTCGGACGGAAGCTAACGGGCGGCAACAAACGTGGGGGCAATCGGGTTGCCCTGAAGAGGCTTCAAATGGCCCCTGATCTGCCGCGATGGCTTCGAGATGTCCTGGAAAAGTTCGTCATGTCTCCACCCCGCGCACATCTCCCCCTCACCACCTCCCAGCCGACGGGGGCATGGGGCAGCGGGGCCTGGTGCCGACCCGCGAACTCCGCCCGGGTCTCCGAACTCCTAACAATTTTGCTCCAAAACACCCAGCGTTCTGATTTTTTCGACACGCCGCGTGGGCCCCAGACATCTCGGCCCCTCCCCCAAGACCAGTTCCTCCCCGGGTCGTTACTGAACGGCCCCGAGGCCCGAATCCAGCCAAACACTTTCCCAACAGTCTGAGCTCCGACGTCACGAAACAAATTGCAGCATCGCGGATGAGCGCGACCAAAACCCTATTGAATCTTTCTGCGGCAATTCTCGAGTCAGATCGATCTGTGAAATCGCCCTGGAGCCCGGAACCGGGCGAAAACGCCAGGCATGGCGGCATGGAGACATACCAGCCGCCTCGATTTTTCTTGTTCGAGGCGCCGGATGCCACGGGCAAATGCCGCCTTTTGGGCTTCCAGCAGCGGGCGCTGGGCCGCCTGAAGGGGGACGACACGGGGGGGCTTGCTCCGGGGGGAACACGCTGACCTGCAATCGCCCATCCATCACCGATGAATCGGCGATGGGTCTCCAATGGGGAGCACCCCACTTTCCTGGGGCAGGCTGCGGGGCACCACGGCCCCGATCGGCGAGGAATTGGCGATTGGGGGTCGATGCTCCTCCTCTGAGCCAGCCCCCTCTGACCCCAGATATCCTCCGATGTCTCTTTTTCAATCCGCGGCCATCTTCTCCATCCGAGGCCCAACTCCTGATGGCCCCGGGGCCTGATGACGGGCCCAAAACGCCGAAATCGAGGAAAAACGCCTGGATTGAAACAAAAACTACCCAGACCTCCCACGCCTTGTTTGTTCCACAGCGGGGTCCCCGGAGCCCCGGTCCGCCCGCCGAGCCCCGGTCCGCCCGCCCGCCCGCCGACTCTCGTCCCGAGCGCCGCTCTCTGGCGGCCCCGGGGCCCGGCAAGGGCCCCCCACGGGGGCCGCGCGCGGCGAAAAGATAGCGCTCCTGGCTTCCTCGCCCGTGCTGGCCCGCCTGGGGCCTCGTCCTGCGCGGGCTGTCTGGGCACCTCGTCGGAGAGCTCTCTGGGCGCCGCGGCCCCCCCGGCCGCCGCGGGTGCCAGCTGCAGCAGCCCGCCCGCCGCGCCCAGCGCGGCCAGCGCGTGGAGCTCCAGGCCGCCCAGGGGCCGCCGGCGCAGCGTGGCCGCCAGGTCGGCGGCGAGCCCCTCGCCGGGCCCGGCGCGCGCGGCCGCGAGCCCCAGCGGCCGCGGGGGCCAGCGCAGGCCCCGCGCCCTCACGACCTCGGCCGGGTGCGGGCGGCACGACGGCGATCGTCGACGACCTCGGGGCCTCGGCCGGCTGCTGGCGGCACCGCGAGGTCAGGAGGCACCCCCCCAGGCCCCCTCGAGTCGCGGCAAGATCGCGACGGAGGGGCGAGAGCGGCGAGGGCGAGGGGGGCTTCTCGGCAACGCGCCCAGGGGTGGAGTGAGAGGGGAAATGCCTTCCCTCATATCCTGGCGCAGCATCTTTCCACAACGGGCTGATTTGCCTTGCTGCGGGCCCCAGGACGGCTCGAAGAATGACGCAGAACGATGGGGTCTAGAGCTCGGGCTGGCTGTCGGCGGTGCGGCGAGGTCAGGAGGCACCCCCAAACTTCACAAAACAAAATCACGACGGAAGGCTTTTCGCTATTTTCAGCCACATGGGAGCCTTTCGTAGACCTCGGGACCGTCAAAAAGCGACTCAAGATGAAAACCTGTCTCGGGAAATGTGTCGAGACCTCCGGAATCGCTGTGATGAAAAATCGTGACGTTCGGGGTCTGGGGAAAGGTTATCAGAACCGATTGCATAGCCAGATTCGGCTACACTAGGCCGGGGATTAAGCCAGATTAGGCGGGATTGAGCCGGATTAGCCGGGATGAAGCCTGGCTTCAATGGGATGCAGCAAATTTGGGGGCAGTTTCCGACCATGGACATGCCAGCGCCGATTTCAGAATCTAACTTTCCAGGAATTGTATCCTAAATCAGGGGGGCAAACGTTTTCAGGCGGCGAGGCTTCTCAGACGCCCTGCGGGCTTCTGTGAAGCCCTATGCGCCTCCGGGGAAGGCTTAAGCATGGAGCTTTCTGGAGGGCCGCCCTCTGAGCCGAGAAGGCCCGCCTCCTCCGCCTTTCCCCCCTGGGCGCGCCGCCAGGGCTGTGCCCGCAGAGCTCCGACGACATGTGTTCGTTCCGTCCTGGCGTTCTTCCTTGGTGTCGGCCTCTGGGGCCCGTGGTAGTCGAGTTTGCTTGGGGACACGAAGGCCTTCCGAGGGCCCTATTATTGCTCCAGGAATGCAGGAGACATGGGTCGCGAAGCACAGGACACACGGGCACCCTTGAGATTTGGAAGGGTCGGCCTGCTGGTCAAACTCGACTGCATCGTGCCCCAGGGCTCGTCAGACTCGGACCTGGGGCGAAAGACCACCCAGGGGGAAAGGGTCGGGACCTCTGGGGCCGCGCATGGAACCATTCATATGGCGGGCTCCAGAAACCCTGATACCAAAAATGCTGTCACCTCTTGGGAGGTCGACCTTATCTTCCGCCGGCTTTCGCCGAGCTTCTGCCGGCGGAGCCGCCGCCGTTTTACTTCTGTCGCCTTCCGCCACCTTCTGCCGAGGAAGAGATGGCAACTCCTTCGATCCTCGACGGCGAGGCCCTTTTTGGAACGCCTCTCAGATCGTCGGATGTCTGGGGAC